AAAAAACCAATGACAATAAAAGAGAGAAAGAGAACAGGGGTGGCCCTGTCTGCCTGCTTCTCTTCCACATCTTTGTTCTCAAGCACAGTGCTGGTTCACCTAACTTACCACTTATTGGCTCCTATTGTTATTGTCGCTTCAGACTTTGCATGCCACTAGTCTTGCCTGTCCATCCTGCATGCTCTAGTTGTGATCCTTCTGTGTCACTGGCATTCCCTCTTGTCTCTGGGCCTTCCCTCAAAGTTCATCTCAGCTGTCACAGCAGCAAGGAAGGCCATGGGTTCAAGTCCCAGTACCACAAAATAAATAAATAACCCAGTCTCAAGAATTCTATTGCATATCAACAGAAAACATCAAGACAACCCTATACATAGTTAGGAATCTGGCTTTGCATTATTATACCAAGTCCCTGCAGGGACATTTGTTGAAATACAGAGGACAGAAATTCAAGGTAGGACCTGTACTTCTAAACAATGTCTGTGTCTAAAGCTTTGGATGTTTAGGAATGGTCTATAGTTTTTTAAACAAGAGGCATTGATAATTTGATTTTTTAAAAATTAATTTTCATTGAAAATGTGAAAGGTGTACATTGCAAAAATTTTTTTTTACAAAAAAATTCTTTACAAAACAGAAAATAGTATATAATTAAAGACAAAACCATCTCTTGATCCTCTAATTTGGTTTTGAGTTTGCTCTCTGGAGTGTGGCTATCAATTCTAGCCCGGCCTAATGGGGCTCCAGGGATATTTCTTTATTTAGGCAGATGTCTCACACCTGTGCATCCACCCCATGACTAGCTGTGTCTCCTGTTTGCACTGGCAGGCACCCTCATGGTTCTTGTTTGACCTGTGTCTTACATTTTCCTACCAACACAGCCACCATCCAGGAGAACCCTGACCAGGAGAGTTAAGTTTGAATGTGATGGTCAGGTGAGACACAGGCAGCCAACAATACACATGACATAACAGAAGCAGTGTATTCCTCACAGAGCCAGAAGAGAAGAGGGGTTCACAGAAGGATGGGCTGGAAGTCCAAAGACAGGGTGTTCAACCGTGAGTAAGGAGCAGGAGAGGGAGGCTCTGTGCGTTCATACCTTTAGTGAGGTCTGTGAATGTTATCTGTTAGATAACAGAGTTGTGGAGAATACACAGGAAGAGGGAAACTTATTTATATGACTGGTGTTGGTCATTAGGTTTTTTTGTTTTGTTTTGTTTTGTTTTGTTTTGTTTTGTTTTGTTGAGACAGGGTCTCATTATGCAGTTCAGGCTGGCCTTGATCTCACTTTGTAGCCCAGACTGGTCTCGAGCTCACAAGGATCCTCCTGCCTCGGCCTCCCAAGTGCTGGGATTACAGGCATGAGCCACCACGCCCGGCCAAAAACTCCCAATTTTTTTTTTTTTTTTTTTTTTTGCTTTTTTCTGGTACCGGGAATCAAACTCACGACTTTGCGCTTGCCAGGCAGGCGCTGTGCCGCTGAGCTAAATCCCCAGCCCGGCCATTAGGTTTTTATCATAGTGTATGCTGGAGTTTGGGTCAGAGGATGGGGAAGAAGCAGGCTGTGTCACAAATAATGACATGTGGAGGGGATACTTTAACTAGGCCAAAGGTGACAGTGTATTACTGAGTTTCAAGTAACTTATGCTAGACCTAAAAATAAATGCTGAGACAGTGACTATATTAAATAAATTTACGTCATCTGATGTTGGTTATAAGTTGTACTCAGTTTGTGAAAATTCATCAAAATATAAATGTTTAATTTACACACTTTTGGTATGTGTTATGCTTCAATAAAAAGTTTTAAAAATAAATTTGTTTTCCTGCCACGCATCTTCAGATCCCTATTCTTTTTGTACATAAGCAGTTACCTGTTTGTTATGTATGAATTGAAGAAATAACCTCTTGTGTACAAATACATGGGTACAAGCCAGGTACGGTGGCACATGCCTGTAATCCTTGCACTCTGGAGGCTGAGGCAGGAGGATCACTGCAAGTTCAAAGCCAGCTTTGGCTACATAGTGTGTTCAAGGCCAGCCTGAACTACATAGTGAGGCCCTGTCTCAAAAAACAAAAACAAAGACATGGGTATACATATATCTACCCCTTTATTTATACAAATGAAACTATATGGCCATGTGTAGTGCATTGACAACTGGTGGTCAACTTATAACACCCAGCTGAACTGAGTAAGCATGGTACTGGGTGTGGGAGGCCCACCTGAGGATTGTTGCCAGCAGCATAAGAGGCAGACCTGGAGAAGAAGTGAGGCTGTTGCAAACTGGGAAAGGCTGTTGGGAGCTAGTAGAAGCTGTAAGGGGCTGTTGGTTCTGCTGGAGAAGCTCGTCATGCTGGCTTTCCTGATGACCTTGGTTGTTTTCATCCTCCTAGGAGCTCGGGATCTTGTTGGCACTGAGAACAGCTTTGGTTCACTTTGGGGGAGCTCTGGTCCTCACTTCGAGCATCACTTCCTGGCTCCAGAGGGGAGGATGGTGCACTGCCAGTCTATCTCCTGGAGAAGCTTGTCTCATTGGCTTTCCTGTTGGGAACTCGGCCATCAGAGGAGCTTGGGACCTCACTGTTGCTGAAGACAGCTGTGGTACCTTTCCAGGGAGCTCTGGTTCTTACTTTGAGCATTGCTTCCTGGCTCCAGCGTAGATCCCTCAGTCTGCTAGCACAGATCCTTCATCCCGCTAGCACAGGCTTTCCAGATTCCACCACTGACCTTTGGACCTTCCCGGTGCAGATCCATGAAACAGGCCTGCATGAGATATTGTCATGGGCTCTGGGCCTCCAGTTGGATTTGTGGGAGGCATTGTTATGGGCTCTAGATATTCAGCTGGACTCATGCAGGATATTACCCCGGGATCCAGGCCCTCAGCTGGATTCCTGGTCTATAGCGTGTGGACAGATTTCCTGTACTCTTTTGTATATCATTCTTTGGGTGACTATTATAAATAACCTTGTAAAATATGTATCCTATATTATATTGTTTCCCCTTGCAAAATATCCCCCAAACCCAGACACCATGCAAGGTGGTCCACATTTGTAATGCTAGCACGCTGGGATGCTGTAGTAGAAGGATTGCAAGTTGGAGCACAGCCTGGGCAACTTAGTGAGACCTTGTCTCAAAACGGAAAATAAAAAATGGCTGGGGATATAGTTTAGTGCAAAGGCCCTAGGGTTCAATCCCCAGTACCAAAGAAAGCAAAAACAAGACCACACACACACACACACACACACACACAGTAACAGCATGTAGCTATAAAGGAGTAGTAGAAAAAAACAGTAATTCACAGAAGAAAAATAAAAGGAAAAGTTCAATGACCAATGAAATATAAATTAAAAGGATAATGAAATACAAATTTTCATTTGCTGGTTTTACAAAAATTAAAAAGGCTAAGAATATTTGACCATGGCACCAGGAAACGAATATTCTGAACCATTGCTAGTGGGATTGTAAATTGGTACAAAGATTTTGGAGAGAAAATTTTGTGATCTCTTATCAACAAAACAATGTCTTACAGAATTTTTCTGGCAAATGTACAAGAATTTTTATTGCATTATTGTTGTTATTTGGGTTTGTTTGTTTGTTTTGAGACAGGGTTTCACTATGTAATTCCAGCTGGCTTTGAACTCATTACAGAACCCAGGCTGGCCTCAAAGAGTGGCAATCCACCTGCCTCAGCCTATCAAGTGCTGGGATTACAGGTGTGCACTACCACGCCCAGCTACAGCATTATTATTATTATTATTATTATTATTATTATTATTGGTTTTTCTCCGGTACCGGGAACCGAACTCACGACCTTGAGCTTGCCAGGCAGGTGCTTTGCCACTGAGCTAAATCCCCAGCCCCACATTTATAAGAACAATTAGAAGGAAAGAAATCTTTATCATCTTTCATCAGAGAAATAGTTAAAACTAAAGTACAGCCACACTACAGAATATTGTTACTGTTCAGAAAAAACAAGGTAAAAACTTCCCATTGGAGGGAAACAGGAACTCATTTCCAGGAAATTTTCTGCTGAGTGAAAACAACAGAACCAAAAGTAAAGAGAAAACTTCTGTCTTCTATGAAGAGGCGAGGCAGTCAAAACCATAAGCCACCAACTCCGAAGAGATTTCAAAACACATTGAAATTTGGATAAAGTCCGGAAAGGACACGACAGGCAGACCTAGACATTTGCTGACCTCATCAAGCAAGTGCAAAAGCTCTTCTGATCTGGGCCAATTCGCCCACACTCCTTACCAAAACCTTTTTACCCGCCAGCCACCCTGGCACCGTATCCTGGTTGGGAAGGATTCCGCACTAGAGCGCGCGTGCGGGCGGGCGTGTGTCTGTGTTGGTGGCAGTAGTGGTGGAGATGATGATGATGATGCTCGGTGGGAGGATAAAGACCAGATTAAAGAGTGAATGGAATTTGGAGACAAATAAGTGATAAAAGACAGACTTTAAATTTTTTTCGAGTATAAATTAGTGCATTGTTGTACTATTTTGTTTTAAACATGTAAAACAGCAGAAGTAAACCGAAGTGGCAGATGGTGTGCTGAGGCATGTCAGGGGCCCTAGATTCAAAGACTGCCTCTGCTCTACCTCAAACAATCTGCCTCGCTTTCATTATCTGTAAAAAGCTGATAACCACCTCCACTTGCCCGGCCACTTAAGAGAATCAAAGGAAAGAAACTTCCCACTTTGGGAGCCCTAGTTCCGCGCCAGGTAGTATCCGCGTCCCAATGCGGTACCGCCGCGCCGCGGCTGCAAGGGCATCTCGGGACTTGTAGTCCACCCTGCCAGACTCGCGGTCCCAAGAAGCACCGCGGTTGGTCGGCAGGGCTACGTGGCTCGACCCGCTGCGCCTGCGCGGGCAGGTGGGGCAAGATGGCTGCGGAGCAGGGCGTGTGGTCTGTTACCCGACCCGGAATAGGGATGGGTAAAACGATGCGGGCCCTTGTGCTGCTGTTGTGGTTTGCAGCCCGCGGGAGCGCGCTCTACTTCCACATTGGGGAAACAGAGAAAAAGTGTTTTATTGAAGAGATTCCGGACGAGACCATGGTCATAGGTGCGTGGGTGAAGGGAAGTGTTGGGGCAGGATTGTAGTCTCGGGGCGGTGGGTGCGGGACACTCAGCTTTCTGAAGTTAGGAAGTTCCGGTCTTGCTGTGTGCCCTGCTGGGTGCAGATCCAGCCCCATCTCAGGCTGTGCTGACCTGATTTCTCCTCTCTTGTTTCCAGGAAATTACAGGACGCAGCTGTATGACAAGCAGCGCGAGGAGTATCAGCCTGCCACCCCCGGGCTTGGCATGTTCGTGGAGGTGAAGGATCCAGAGGACAAGGTGAGCCAGCCCCTTACCTAGCAGACCTACCTTCCACCCAGCAGGCTTTGTGACTTCCCGTCTTAGTTTCCGCATCTGCTGAAGTGAGAACAACAGTTGATGTGGGCAGGTTCTGGGTTTTCACTGCAGGCCAAACTTGGGCTGCTGAAATGCCAGCTGCTCCTCTCATCTTCCTGCTGACTTCTTGGCCCAGTCAGTTACCTTCCCTGAGCCATTCTCCTGGCTTATGAAATGGAAATTCACTTGTATTAGGAGGTGGTGGGTGGATTAATTGTGGTAGTAGAAATCAAAGAATGCTGGTAGCTTTAAAGGTGTGATGTCTAGACGAGGATTTCACAGAACACTTTTCAAAAAGAATGAACAGCTTCTAATTTTGACAAACAGGGATATTAGAATGAAGCCCCAAACTCTTAGCTATCATTTTAAGTTACCTTTCATTTTTAAAAAAGAAATCGTACAGAAAGAGTTGAAATGAGCTATAAAGGAAAGCCCTTCCCAGGAGAAGTCACTGCCAGCCTGATGTCAGACTTCACTCCTGCCCCAGATAGCTCCCAGCAAGAATTTGGCAGCTGCTGCTGAGCAGCTTTAGATTTTTGAGTAGTGAGTTTTTTGTTAACTTTTTAGTGCTTAGAGCCTTCAGTGCCATTTCCTTCCAGCCTAATCGCTGCTGTAACACAGACTGAAGCCCCTCTCCTTTCTCTAGGTCATCTTGGCCCGGCAGTATGGCTCTGAGGGTAGGTTCACTTTCACTTCTCATACCCCTGGTGAGCACCAGATCTGTCTTCACTCCAATTCCACCAAGTTCTCCCTCTTTGCTGGAGGCATGCTGGTAAGTACACACATGTGAAACTTGAAGCTTTCAGCCTCTATGGCTTGGTGGGGATGTTTGGTACTATGAATGTGAGATAAGTATGTTGGATTTTGTGTCTCCCAAGAACACTGGGTTTTCAGTGAACTTCCAGGGCACAGTGGCTGAGCTCTTTGCATAGTCATCCCTCAGTCCCAGGATACCCACCTCATTAGTGGATGCTTAAGTCCTTATATGAGATGGTATACCATTTTCATTCAGCTTCTACATCCAGTTGTATCCTGCTGTCTTGGTTACTTTTCTCTCATTGCTGGGACAAAATACCTGATGCCCAAAATTAAGGAAGGAAAGGTTTATTTCGCTTACAGTTTGTGGAGGTTTTAGTCCATACTTGGCAGATTACAAGGCAGAGTGGCACATGGCAGAGAGCTACAGCTCAGGGAGGCAGAACACAGCCGAATGAACAAGCATCCACAAGGGCAGAATGGCCTCAAGCACCCTCTTCCTCTCCCTTACATATATGCAAACTATCCACCCCAGGGTGCGTGTAGCTCTTACACCCATAATCAATCAGACTCTAAAAGCCTGCCCCATGACTGCATGAGGCTTTGGGGGGGACACACACAAACCGTAACACCTGCTGTACACTTTTAAGTCATTTCTAGATTACTTATAATCTCTAATGAAATATAAACGCTGTGTAAATTGTTGGTACTTACTGTTTTGGGGATAATGACCAAAAGAGTCTGTACATGCTCAGTACAGACAGTGTTTTGGCTTTTTCTTTTAAGAATATTTTTGATCTGGAGTTGACTGAGTCTGTAGATGTAGAACCCACAAATACAGAGAACAAGCTGTATATGTTTTGGTCAGAGTAGCAGCTCGGGTTTATAGTTCTGGCTTGTGAACTCAAGAGTCCCATAGGGCTAGACACTGAGGACCTCAGTCTATTGGCTAAAAGGAACAAATGAAGGAAAGTGGGGGGTCAGCTGTCAGTCCCTGGCAGGAAGGTGGAACAGGCTTTCTGATTCCTGGTATCTTCCTTGTCTGTTCCCAGAGAGTTCACCTTGACATCCAGGTGGGTGAACATGCTAATGACTATGCAGAAATTGCTGCCAAAGACAAGCTGAGTGAGTTGCAGCTACGAGTGCGACAGCTAGTGGAACAAGTGGACCAGATCCAGAAAGAGCAAAACTACCAGAGGGTGAGTGCTTGGACCAGAAGTGGTAGACTTTTCTGTAAGCAGGCCCCTGGCTCAGTCAGGTCTTGTATGGCAGATTCATTATGAGATACCCAAGGGCCTTACCTATTGCACACTGCAGATGTGAAGGTAGGGATGGGTATTATTAAGTCCATGCTGTAACTGAGGACATAGACTCATTTTATTGAATCACAATTACACAGAGAATGACAGCATAGGAATTGATACGAACACCTTGGCTGTTATTTAAATGGCTCCAGATGCTCCCAGGACCCAAAGTCTCAAACTCATTTGTGGCCAGGAATGAGACAAAAGTGTCCCAAATGAACGTGTGACTATATGAAATAGTAGGGGAGTAATCCATCTCAGCAGGGACAGCTGTTGTTCAGTATTATCAAGGGCCTCCTTGCAGAAATGCCAGCCCTGGGTTTTCAGATCTTGCATTTTTCAAGAGCTAGAGGTGTGGGTTTTTATGTGAAATTTTCCTGAGTTTTAAATGTTGGCAAAACACTGTGTGGCCAACCAAAAACATGTAAAGGCCAGAATCAGTCCCCAGGCCATCAGTTTGCAGTCTCTGCCCACGATCTTCAAAGAGCATTTTGAGAGTCCCGGACAGAGTAAGTCTAATACTGCACACTCGGAATAGCTCTGTCGTATGGAATGATACCACCACTACCGTACCACTCCTTCGGGCACCTACCTACCTGACAGATGAGAAAACTGACATAGAAATGATTAGGTTGCTTGAAGTGATCTGGCTGTTGAGGGTGCATACAGTTCCCACGTAGTGATTTTTGCAAGCAGCTGGCAAGAACACTGGGAAAGTTCTGTTGGGCATCCTCACAGGCTGAGAACCCAGCAGTTATAGCAGCCCCAGCCAGCCCAGACTTACCTTTTGTTCTCCCCCACAGTGGCGAGAGGAGCGTTTCCGGCAGACCAGTGAGAGTACTAACCAGCGGGTGTTATGGTGGTCTATTCTGCAGACCCTCATCCTCGTGGCCATCGGCGTCTGGCAGATGCGACATCTCAAGAGCTTTTTTGAAGCCAAGAAGCTGGTGTAGCCTTCCTAGGCCACACATGCCATCTTGCTTCCCAGGCTGAGGGACAAAGAACATCCTGGAACTGATTCTTCTCTGGCAGGAGGACTGATTCTCAGTTCACCAGTAGATGTTCTTGTGGGAAGGGGGACTGTAAGCATCCCCAGGCACAAGCTGAGAGCAGCAGCTTGGCTGGCTGATCCTGAGCCGGTGATGGGACAAAGTGCTTGTCCCTTCCCCCTGGCCTCTGGACCTTTTGCAGTAATCATCCAGGGGTTAGTGAAGCTCCTGAGAGCCCCATTAGCACCTGAAGATAACAGTGTTACTGATCAGGGATTTGTGAGGCTGCTATCCAGGATGGATGGGGGTGGGGGTAGTGGGTGGGCAAGCCAATCTTCGGTCTTTTTTTGCTAACTTGGGATTTTGAGCAGGTTGGGGTGTGCTTGTGACTCCTTGATACCCCAGCAAACTGGCTGTTCTCTCCTTTGGCCTAAACCCCATGTCTCATTTAGGGTGTGTATGTCCATGAAGGGCAGTGTGGATGGGGTTTGCAGTGTGGGCAAGTGGCCCAGAGGTTGGGCTTGGCTTTTTCACATCGTTGTCCTTTCTGGGGCTTGAGGAGCTGCTATCAGGGTGGCAGAGGCCTTGGTGCTGGTTGGGGATGGGACCTACAGAGTTTTGGTTACTGATTTCATTTTCAGTGAGTCTAGGTTTGTTATATTGGTTTCCCAATTAAAAAGACTATTGACTTCTTGTCCAGTGTAAAGTTAATCTCAGTAGGCATGACACTTAAGAGAATGTCAGTTCTCCTATGAGGCAAAGTGTTTTATATTCCAAAGAGAACCCCACTTGTGAACTTCATTCTTCCTGTCCTCTCCTTGCGTCTGTGTGGCAAAGGTAGTGGGTTTTTCTAAGACCATCCAGCAAATAAACTATGGGGCTGGGCTCAAATCCATCATTTCCTCAGTGCCAACTCCCTTGTGATGTCTCAAGCATGCTAGGTGTATGCTCCCTTCCCTTTCCAGAATAGGTGAGCAAAACTGTGGGTGGTGTGAGAAAATGCCTGGTAATCAGGCATGGTGGTGTATGCCTGTAATCCCACCGCTGGGAGCCCAGACGACTTAGTGATTGGTGAGATTCTGTCGTAAAATTTTTTTAAAAAGACAGGATGTAGCTCATTGTGGAAGCCCTGGGTTGAATACTGAATCTCACACACACACACACACATGAGTGCTTGATAAGGGAAAGTGTTGAGTGAGGGTTGGGAATGCTATTGATGGGGCGAGTTCCTGGGCTGTGATTAGGGCTAGAATTATGGGGACCACAAAGGAGAAAAGGTGTTTCTGGTTTTTTTGCCCAATATGGAGGAAAGTACCAGGATCTCAGGCATGCTAGGCGTATGCTCTACCACTGAGCTATATCCTCAGCTCCAAGAAGGATTTTGGGCAGAAGTGGTTAGAAAAAAGCAGAGGGAAACAATTGGTAGGGAGATGGATGAATATTCTGGGTCATTTGGAGAGGATGGTTTGAAGAAGCTGGAAAGAAAGGTTTGGTTCAAGTTAGAAGAGCCTTAGCTGGACATGGTGGTGCACACCTGTAATCCCAGCACTTGGGAGGCTGAGGCAGGAGGATCACTGAGTTGAAGGCCAGCCTGTACATAGTACAAAAGACCAAAATCAATGAATAAATAAGTAAAAGAAGAGCCTCGAGTGCCCAGTAGGAGTGTTGGACATTACCCACCTGTCAACTGCAAGTTCTGAGAACCACCTGAAGATAAATTTCAGGAAGATGAATCCAGCAGTATACAAGAAAGGCTGGGACTAAGGACACAAATTTGGGACTTTCACCCAGTGGGATGTAGTAATATTGCCACCTAGGCCTCCAATTAAAAAGTAACTTAATAGCTTCAGAATTATAGAAAAATTGTGAACATAGTTTTTTTTCCCTTCCCGTTAGGATAGTACATTCATGGAAATTATGGTTATGCTGTCATATTATTTGTGGTGCTGGCATGCTAGGCAAGCTATACTCCAGCCCATAATACCTTCTTTATTTTTTTAATCTAATGTCCTTTTTATGTTCCAGGATTCCGTATCACATTTAGTTATGTGTCTGTTTAGGCTCCTGTTGGCTGTGATAGTTTCTTAGTCTTTGTGTTTTGATGATTCCTTGATAATGTCAACTGATAGAGGTGAAGTATTTTGTAGCTTTTCCCTCATCAGAGATTTATCCAGTGTGTTGCATGAACAGATGGAATTGTGAGTTTTTGAAAGCTCACAAAGGTGACATGCCATTCTTATCCTGTCATATTAAGGTTGCTTATTAGCAACCTAATTTAGAAATGGATGCCCCATTTAAAAATGAGTTTATTTGGATTTTCATGTGAAATTTAGTTTCTTGAGATGGTGAGATCTGACCGTGGGACTTAATTGTGATGTGGCAACTAACTGAGTGGCTCTAGGCGGGCCCACCAGGTAACATGGTCCCTCAGTCCTGCTTCCTTCAATAGCCTTATGTGACCTCTGCAGGTCAGCTGTGCATTCATCTTCAGCCAAGCCAGCCAGACTTGTCAAGGTTTTGGTGTAGGGTGCAGTGTCCTGGGACAGTCACAAAATGGAGAACGGCTATGTTAAACTTTGGAGTCTTGAGGGAAAAGGGTTGCTGAGAATGATTAGCTTCCTAGCCATAGTCATCTGTACAGCAGAGTGATTAAGATAATAGATTAGCCAGGGTGGGAGATGGATGAAGATAGATTGTGCAACCAAACTACTTGATTTGCCTCTCTTCCTCAGTCCCCCCCCCCTTTTTTTTTTGTTCTCCCCCCGCCCCCCCAGTACCGGGAATCTAACTCACAACCTCATGCTTGCCAGGCAGGCGCTGTGCCGCTGAGCTAAATCTCCAATCCCTTCCCTCAACTTTTAAAGGGATAATAAATACCTACTCCTAAGGACCAAATAAGATAGTAGTTAAGGAGTTAGAATGATGATTGGCATATAGTTAAGATCTTACTAGGTGTTAGCTGTTTAATAGGAAACTTAGTTGTAGGGAACCTCTTTTATCTCTTGTACCCTGGGGAGAAACTGCTGTGGGTATGAGAAAAATAAAGGCAAGAGATAAGAGCTGAGTCAGGTGGAGTTACCTCTTACCTGATGGGAAGAGGACTGACTTTAACAGTAGGGGCGTCTATACTCTTGCAAAGTTAGGAGAGATAATGTTGCCTAGTGACTAATGACTGTAATTGTCCAGGCGGATGCTTTTTAAAATACTGAGTTAGCTTGACTGCTTGAGGCACTCTGGTTCTGTCCTGCACTCACACATAGGACCAATATTCACCCAACACTTAGTTTGCCTGGAAGAGCAGAGGTGGTCAAATCTTAAGAACTTTGGGGCTCTAAACTGGGTGTGTACATGCCTGTAATCCCAGCACTCTGTGAACCTGAGGCAGGAAGATCCAAATTCCAGCCCAGCCTGGCCAGTTTATGGTAGTGACTTAGCAAGAACTTGTCTCAAAATGGAAAATAAGGGCTGGGGAGGTAGCTCAGTGAAAAGGCCCTGGGTTCAACCCTCCTTACCTCAAACAAAACAACAAAAATGCTGCACTCTTTTTCCAGGTTGGGAGTCGGGGGACAGCTAAATTCTCAGAATGACAGGGCAGATAGCTCAATTTCCTATCTCTGAATTCTGTTCTCACCTGAGCTCTTATCAAAGTACCCCTTCTTGGATGATAACTATCATTTATATAGCGTCAGCCGTGTGTCCAGCACTCTAAGTGGGTCTGCAGTTTTCCCTTTAATCCTTAATACCCTACAGAATAGGAAACATTTACATACCTATGTGAGGAAACAAGTTACAGAGATTATGGCTTGCTCCCAAATAGCTGAATTGGCAGAGCGAGGTTTCAAATCGAATCTGTCTTCGGAACCTGGCTCCTAACTATGATCCGGAGATTGAGCAGAACCCAGCACTGAGTTCTAAACTGGACTTTGCCCCTCCAAGCTTATGTGGTGGGAAGAGTGCACCCCCTGGCTGACAAGGATGCCGCTCCGCGCTTCTCTGGAAGAGAGGAAGTATCCACAGCGCTGGTTTTGTTAGTCTAAAGTCTGAGTCCAGGCCAGTCCGGTGACTTGTTGGGTGGCTTTTGGTCTCTGGGGATTCCTTTTCTCAGGATGTCAAGTGGGTCCCGGGAGCAGGTGGAAATCAGCGTGGCGGTGGAAGCGCCCACTTGTTCCTCTGCAAACAGAACCTTGCGGGCGGCGGCTCCTGGGAGCGGACGGCTCGGCCGGAGCGACGGACCCGGCGGACCGGGGGGCGGGGCGGACGGGTCTGGGCGGGGCGGGAGGCGGAGGCGCCGCGTAGGCCCGGGAGGCCCGGCGGGCCGGGCTGGGAGCTCGAGCCCCATGCGCCACCGCCTCCCCCCACGATGTTCCCCTCCCGGAGGTAAGCGGCACAGCTGCCCTGGGAGGACGGCAGGTGAGCGGCGGCGGCCGGCGCGGGCCCTGTCCTCCCGCGGCCGCTCTTGTCCGGGCCGCCCTGCGGCCGTGGCGTCTGCGTCTCTGCGGATCTCAGTCTGTGCTCTCCCTGTGGGTCCCTGGCTCTGCGTGGCTCGCTGTCTGTCTCTGTCTCTGTCTTTCTCTATCTCTCTGTCTCTCTTCTATGTCTCTCTCTGTCTCTCTGTCTGTCTTTCTCTCATTGTGTTTCTGTTTCTCTGAGAATTCTTCTGTGTCTTTTTTGGGTGTGTGTTTGGTTTTCTCCATTGGCTCGTCCGTCGTCCTGCGGGTCTCTGACTGCGTTGGCCTCTTGGAGTGGATGTCTATCTTTCTGTCTTTCCGTGCTTTCTGAAGGCCTTTATTCCTTTTCTCTTGTGTCTGTCTCCCCCATCAGATCCCCCAGCCTCAAACCCTGCCCTCTCCTTCGTGAGTCTCAGTAACTTGCTGCCAGTCCAGAAGAACACACCAGACAGAAGCTTAGTGTGCTCTGCCTGGTTGACCACTGCTTGGCTTGTGCTACACACTTTTCACATACCCCTTAGTTCATTTCCTGTGCAGCTGTGTTTGCATGGGGCCTGCCCCATGTGTTAGGTGTGAGCTTGGCCCAACTTTAGCTAACGACGTTTCCTGTTACAGCAAAATGGGCGAAGCGATTTGGCTGCCTAGACTTAGAGGAACACCCATGCTTAGGCTTGATCTGTATTCCCAAAACTCTTCTTCCCTAGTACACATGATAGTTGATCTTTATCCAGTGAATGACATCTCATTCCCTTTATATATCCTAAATTTATTAGGTGCTGTAAGATTCTGGAATTTATTAGGCACAGCTCTTGCCACTTTAGGGGTTCTTCAGACTTGGTGTTGAGGTGAGAAATCAGAAATATAATAGAAGTCAGTCTAGTCAGCCATGGGCAAGAGCTCTGTTTAATAACCAGGTGACCAAAACCAGATACTTACTCTTTCTGACTTTAGCCTCACATTTTTGAAATGAGGATCTTAATATCTGCAAGGCTGTATGGGAATTAAAGGAGATTAGATCTGTAAAACCCTTGGCACTGTGCCTGGAACAGAGGAGGTGATAGTCATCTTCCAGTTTCTTTTGAAGTGCTATACAGAGGAATCAAATATTCAAACATTTTACCACGGATGTTTGAGAGAAGAAAGAAATGGGAATGGAGGAGCATTTCTATTTCCTGATCCTAATACATAACTGTTCCCATAAAATTTTACTGATATCCATTCTATGCTTTTGACATAGGACTACAAAGATCCATGCTACAAATGCAGGCTAGTGTAGTAATTAAGCACTGGTTCTGGAGCCACCCTGCCTGGATTTGAATCCACCCCTTAGTAGCCTTGTGCAATGATGGCAGAAGGAGACAAAGCGTCATCTGGATTGCCCCTCAGAGCTGGAGTGGTCTGGCCTTGGCAACAGTGGGACGCAGTTCTGGAGCTGGCCACCAAGTGGCACCAGGAGCGGCTGTTCTCATAGCCCACTATCTAGAAAAATGGGGCTCTGGGCTCATTTCAATTGCTTTGGGGTTTGGGCTTTTAAGAGCACAAGATGAGAATGCCTGTGGGGACATGAGCCTCATTGCAAAAGACAGTCTAGATTAAAAAGAAAAGCATGAGGAAGTGCATGGAAGGCCCAATCCATATCGTACTCCTGGATAATGGTCAGTGCGTCTTCCCCTAAAGGGGGAAGCTTGCCCCATGTCCATTTTCACAGTCTTCACCATGCACCCAGAAAGAGCCCAGAGGGAGAGAGAGACTCTGTAGAGGTTCCAGTCTCCCCAGGTCACATGCGGGACTAGGCTCTGCTCTTCCCCAGCGGAAACAACCACCGCAGGACCATGGGGGGTAAGTCAGAAACCCTGTGAGGGTGTCCCGCTGGACCACCTCTCAGCTGTGTGTGGGATCTGGACCTGGCTTCAGGGCTGCTGGCTTCCAGGTTGGCATTTGTGTCTCTAGAGAAAGGTAGGGAGTGGTCTGGCTCTAGTGTGTGACTTCAAGCATGCCTTGGACTGCTTAACCCTCCCTTAACTCACTTAGCAAGCCTTTTGCTGTCTGTCTTGTGCTGGGACCACAGATAGGAACTGACATGGTCTAACAGGCAGGGTCATGGGACATCACCGGTGCGTTAAAGAGGGCATTACCAGATACCATGGAACACAAAGGAACCTCATAAAGAGATAGTAATGGGCAGTGCTGGCCATGACGTTGAAGTTTGTGCAGCAGAGGACTTCCAGGTAGATACAGTAAAGCAGAGCATATCAGGCAGAAGGAGCAGCTTGTGTGAGGGAGGGGTGGAGCAGGAAGGAATGATGTGAGTGCAAAGGCCCTGAGTTATTCAGAGTAAGACTGAGTGGTAGGGAGCAGCTGGAGATTTGGTTGAGCCACAGAGGGCTGTAAGGGTCAGGCTAAGGAGGTTGGCTTTTATCTTGTAAACAGTCTAAGATTAAAGGGGTCTGAGCAGGGAAGAACTCAGTGAATAAAGAAAATCACAAAGGAAGTTTGGAGGTAGTCTGTCAGACTTGGTAACTAATTCCTGACTCTTAGAGGTTATAAACTCAATTCCTTTGTAGATTATTGGGGAGGGGTGTGATTATACAGGACATGTTTCTCTTAGATTTCACAGTTGCTGTCCTTGCATCCTCTGGAAGTTCAAGAGGTAGGACAAAGGAATCAGGTGATTCCACCTGTTTCTTGTACTTGCTAACCTAAAGGCAGTCTCTCAGAGTCACTGCATTGTTTAAGATATTCACGTGTTTGTCCAGTTTCTGAAATGAGCCTGGGTGCTGCACCATCCCTTGTCTTTCTTTCCCTCATCTGTCTCTCCTGTCTCATGGGCTACCTCTGGGACTGAAGGTTTGAAATTCATCCTATGAACTGCCATTGTGCATTTTTGTCTTGCGTTGCTTTGAGGGCAGGTCTGATCTTCCCAGAGTAATTACTGGTCTTTTGACCTGGGACTCATGTCAACACACACCCCTATCTTGGGGGGTTTCTGGTCAGCCTGAGAAGCAGGGCAAAGTCAAGATTTCTGCCGGAGTGAATCTGCGGGGGATTGGGTTTGGAAGTCGGTGGGTTGCATCTCTCCAAGGTGGGGCTCCTGCCATTGGCTCAGGACATCAAGGCACTGCTCTGGGGAGGGGCAAGTATAAAAGACAGGGAGCCTTGTCCCTGCCCTCACATAGCTCATGGTCAGATGAGGATTCACTTACAGAAAGTAAGAGAACATCAAAGATCTCCAGCAGCCTGCAAGATGGGAATGCTCAAAGAGTGTCGCAAAAGTCGGGTAGTACGAACTGGGCTTAGAGAAGTAAGCAGGATTCTTATTATGGCAGTAGCATGAGCAAAAACATTAAAATTGCTTTTGTACTAATTTCCAGGTGCTTGGGGTACACCAGTCATGTATGCCTTATGCATGGGGAGGCCAGGAAAGGGGTCTGTTGGGGCTTCAGTTTGGCCCTGCCCTCTGACCCCAGCCCTATTCTTATACCAGGTCCAGGTGGATCCTCGGTGGCCTCCCCCGGAAATGCTCCGTCTTCCACCTCTTCGTTGCCTGTCTCTTACTGGGCTTCTTCTCCCTACTCTGGCTGCAGCTCAGCTGCTCTGGTGATGTGGCCAGGGCAGCTAGGGGACAAGGGCAGGAGACCCTGGGTCCACTCCAGGCCTGCCCCCCAGAGCTGCCCCCTGAACACTGGGAAGAAGATGCATCTTGGGGCCCCCATCGCTTGGCAGTGTTGGTGCCATTTCGTGAACGCTTTGAGGAGCTCCTGGTCTTTGTGCCCCACATGCACCGCTTTCTGAGCAGGAAGAAGATCCAGCACCACATCTACGTGCTCAACCAGGTGGATCATTTCCGGTAGGGACCACCCATCCTTTCACTGCTAACTAGGTAACCCCACCCCACAACCTTGCTCAGGCCACTCAGAACCTGTTCCCAATGCTGAATACACTCAGGCCTGTGAGAAGCTGCCAAGGGCAGGGGCCGAGGGTATAGGTGGTAGGGCCCTCTCACTAGGCATGGTGGGAATCTTTGGGGAGGGCACAGATCAATTTCCATTTTAGAAAGATTACTCTGGCTGCTGGATGTGGAGTAAACCAGGATAAGGGAAACAGGGACACTGGCTAGGTGGTCACTGAAGTCATCAGAGATGATGCTGGCTCACTCAGGGTGGTAGAAGGGGCTAAGAATTATGTAGTGGAAGTGTGGGCAGGACTTGCTAGTGATTGTTTAGGGGGATTAGGGAAAGGGAGGGTCCTGCAGTTTCCCGCAGTAGTGTTATCCTGAAGTCCTTGCCCTTTTCGCAAACTGCTTCTCTCAGTTACCACCATTCAAGCATCTCATACTCCAAAGCCTACTTCCTTTCTGTCCATCTTATTCCTGCCGGAAGGTGGACTTCCAAGGATTCCTGCACCCCACCCAGTCCACAAGTCCATGGGTCCTCCCCTCTTTTCAATACCAGCTCTCCTCTCTACTTTCTCTTTCCCTACCTGGTCCATCATTAAAAAGCACCCTGTCAGATCCATCCTTAACCTCCTACCCCTAAATAGCGATATGTGCAGCCACACCCTTCATCTCTGATGATGAGCCCTGACCCAGGAGGAAGGCTCCCAGTCCTGCTGGAAGTGTCTGTTCCTCCAGCCCATCCCTGGCAGTCTTACGCATCACCTCTTGGCATTCCTGCCTTGTCCTTACTCTCAGGTGATGACTTTGCTTCTCATATAAGAAAACGAAACCAGTTGGAAGAGAACTTCTGTCTTCCCCACCACCTCTACTCACCTCCCAGCTTCCTTCCTGTGACTAGGAATGACTGTCCCACTCTCTCAGGGGCCGACTGTCCCACTGTGGAACTGGGCTCCTCCTGTCCCTCCCACTCAAGGGAACACCTGTCCTCTTTTACTCCTGCATCATTGGTGTTTCCTTTGCCCTGAAGAATTCACATCTGTATACAGACTTACTCAGATAGCACCCCTCTAAAAAGAAAAGGGAAATAAATACTCCATTCTACATCCCCTCAGATTGTCACCCCACTTCTCCCTTTTGCAGCAGAACGCCTTCCCTTGAAATCATTCCACTCAGACATTGACCTACATTATGACCTTGAAATGGCCCACACTGAGATCACCAATGAGCTCCACTTCCTTAATCCCCGACCTTCATCCTGCCAATCTGAGAGCAACATCTGCTAAGCAGATTACTTATGCTGGGACATAAGTAATCCCAAGAGCCCACTTGGCTCCTGGGACAGCACCTGTGCTTCTCCTCCATCCTTGCTGGCCATCCCTGCTCATGTCATTTGCTGATTTGTCCTCATCTCTCTCATATCAGTGTTCCTTGGGGCTTAATGCTTGAGCATCTCCTCTTTTTGAGCTGCAGTCTTTGCCTGCAAAGCTCATCCAGTCTCACAGCATTAAATTCCTGCTGACTCTGGATTCTATATTTCCAGCCCAGATTCTAGACCTTTTTCTGAACTCTAGACTTGCACATCCAGTTGCCTCAGCAAGTCCTCTATTTGATAGTTTCAGAGGCACTTGAGCTTTACATGAACACAGTGGAATTTTCTTTTCTTTTCTTTTTTTTCTTTTCTTTTCATTGTTTGAGACAGAGTTTCACTATGTAGCTATGTAATTCGGGCTGGCCTTGAACTCTCTGTGGAACCAAGGCTGGCCTTGAACTAACTCATGGTGATCCTCCTGTCTCATCCTCCTGAATGTGACTGCAGCTGAATTACTAATTGCCTACCCAGACCTGCTTCCTCTGCCAACTTCCCCATTTCAGGAAATGGGAATGCCATGCTTCTAGCTGCTCAAGCCAGAAATGCTCTGGAGTCATCCTCATTTGGCCTTTTTCTGCCATACAGCACCCAGTTCATCAGCAGAGTATATCTAGAATCTGCCTGCTTCTCGCTGTCTCTCCTGCTGCCTCTTCCAATCAGGCCCCCATTACCTCTTTCCTCCCAGTTGGTTTCCTTCCTTTCGCTCCCGCCCCTACAACCCTTCTCATCATGTTAACTAGTGAACCTCCTAAAATACAAGCACCTTGCACCTCTGCTGCAAGTCCCCTAGCAGCTCCTCACCCATCCAGCATCCGTGCCCTGGTCCTTCAGTGCAGTTGGCCTCATCAGCCCTGTTAGCTGTTGGCCTCTCCCCGTTCACTCCTTCACTCTTCCTGGCTCTATTGCTGTCTCCTTTTGCCTCAGGCCTTGGCTGTTGCCTTCTGTGCTTGGAGCTGTGTTCCCCCAGCTTCCATATGGCTCATTCCCTCAGGCCTTTGGATTTCTACTCAAATGCTGCCCTGTCACCCTGGCCCTCCCTGACAGCCCTGTCTAAGGGAACAGCTGCTAATCCCCACAGCAAGTTTCACCCTCTTCATCAGTTTGGCTTTTCCGCACAGTCCTCATAACTGTCAGCCTTGTTACGTCTTCTCATTTGCTTCTTTGTTTACTCCTATTGCGCTGTCAGCTCCTTGAGAGGAGGGTTTTGTTTTCTCCCTGATGTGTCTCCCACTGCAGTTGTAAACAGTTTCTAGCACTTAATAAGTGCTCAGTAAACTTGTGCAATGAGTAGAGGGCATAGCCCTATGCAGCAAAGTCAGTGCTGGGCTGAGGGGAGCGGAGGCTCCAGGGGCAGGGACTGTCATGCAGAGTTGGGACACAGAGCCACATATTGAGCAAGCTCTCTGCCCCCTGCCCAACCCTAACCACCCTGCACAGGTTCAACCGGGCGGCACTCATCAATGCGGGCTTTCTGGAGAGCAGCAACAGCACAGACTACATTGCCATGCATGACGTGGACCTGCTCCCTCTCAATGAGGAGCTGGACTATGGCTTCCCTGAGGCTGGGCCCTTCCATGTGGCCTCCCCAGAGCTCCATCCGCTCTACCATTACAAGACCTACGTGGGCGGCATCCTCCTTCTCTCCAAGCAGCACTACCAGCTGGTGAGGCCCAGCCCAACCTGTTTTGCTCAGAGCTAGGGACCCCCAACCCACATCCTATCTTGCTCTGAGTGGACACACTTGGCAAGATAGAGCAGCCATCCTGGGGTCCAGCAGATGAAGTCCTGCCCGGACCCAGCAGGGGACCCAGTGGCCGCCAGAGACATGAGAGAAGAAGAGAAATGAGCAAGTCAGGCAGGGCTCTGCTATAGCATCACACACCTGCATGCCAGCTGGCAGCGGAAAACAAGATGTGCTGGTCCAAAATTGAAACATGGGGTAGGGAGAGTCTGGCTTCAGGTGCACCTTGCCTACCTCCTCCAGAGTCACTAGAACGCCATTTCTCTCCATCTCTCAGCTCTGCCTTTCTTGTGTTAGGAACCTCTTAGTTTCAGTTGTGTAATCCTGCAGGGTTATTGTAGCTCCTTCTAGGCTTTGGTCTGGCGGGCGATGGAGTCCCTTCCTCCCCAGCAGCCCAGACAGGAGTCCCTGAACTGAGCTGAAGTGGCTCTTGCTTGGTCTGTCCCTGGTTCAGTGAGAACTGAGTGGCTTAGGCTCTGACCTTCTGTTCTCTTCAAGTCATGGCTAAAACCTGCTTTATGTAAAGTTAAGATTAAAAATAGGTGTCATAGAGTACAACTGTCACTTCCTGTGTCTCACAGGAAGACACAATGGCAGAGCCACTTTAGGAGAAATGAGTGTATGAGAGGAAGACAAACCAGTATCAGTTGACACTTCCACCCACTAGCCATCCTCCAGAGAGACCCTTTCTGACCAGACATTGTTGTGACACTAATCATCTCATACAAGTTCAAGGCCCCATTAGAATAGGGAGAAGGACTGGGATGTGCTGATTGCTGCTTCCAACCCTCAATACCACAGAGGTGGCGGGCCCTGCGAATGCCTGGTATCCACTCAGAACATGAGAGAGGAAGAGGAGGAAAGGGGAGCCTGGAGGGCTTGGGCTGGACTCTCCTAAGCATTAGGATTAGAATGCACCCTGGGAGGAGGGGCAGGTGACAGATGCTACCTGTCTCTATGTCAGTGCAACGGGATGTCTAACCGCTTCTGGGGCTGGGGCCGAGAGGATGACGAGTTCTACCGGCGCATCAAAGGAGCTGGGCTCCAGGTAAGGTTCCCCCTGCCCTGGGTCCTGCCACCTCCTCAGTCACTGTAGCTGCCCTGAGGTTGCCTTCTCTTGCTGTGAGAAGTTCCTGGGGTTTGGAGACGCCCCCTACCCCTGCCTTGAACCTGACTTGCAGTGGTTATCCTGCTAGTGCTTTTCCTTCTTCTGCAGGGTGGAAATACAAGCCCCTACCTATGGTCTCCTGGCAGGGAGTGGGATCCCAGAGAAGCTAGTGGTGAGAGCCAAGGCTCCAGGAGGGGTGGCCTTACCTCTACTTTCCTTGATCTCCTTAGCTTTTCCGCCCCTCGGGAATCACTACTGGCTATAAGACATTTCGCCACCTACATGACCCAGCCTGGCGGAAGAGGGATCAGAAGCGTATTGCAGCTCAAAAACAGGTACTGGCTGGTCTCCTTAGGTGGTAGGTGGGGAACTGACAGGCCTGAGCATTTCACCAAGTTCTGAGAACCACATAGTCCTGTCCTCCTCTGCTTGCTCAGGTCAGTGGCATTCTGCTTGGGCACCATGCTCCACTGTGTTTGCTGCCACAGGCCACCTGGGCACTGTGGGTCAGCCCATACCTCAGAGTCCATGCAGGCTGGGGCGGGGGAAGCTTAACTAGCAGTGCCAGAATCCTAGCAGACTTGTGAAGCTGAGATGCCTGTCCTCACATAGCGTCTTCATGGAAGCATATTTTTTCCAAAGGAAAAATCTTTGCTCTCCTGCTTTATTCATGGGTGCAACCTTGGGCAAGAGACTTCACTTCTCTGAGCTCTGGGTCTCTCTTGATGAGCTTCACAGGAACCTCAGTGATGAGGTCCTGTGAGATCAGGGGACAGCCAGCAGCATGAAATCTTTATTAGATGCCCTTTCTTCCTTTCCTTCCCAGGAGCAATTCAAGGTGGACCGGGAGGGAGGCCTGAACACTGTGAAGTACCGTGTGGATTCCCGCACAGCCCTGTCTGTGGGCGGGGCCCCCTGCACTGTTCTCAACATCATGTTGGACTGTGACAAGGCTGCAACCCCCTGGTGTACCTTTGGCTGAGTCGCGTAGACAGTAAGGAAGCCTATACCTACAGGCCACACTGCTGCTCAGGCTCAGGATGAAACCTAGGTCTGGGGCCCAGCTCTGATAGGATGTGGAGTGGCCCGAAGAAACACCAAGCTCTGTATTTGCACCAGCCTGACCCCCAAAGGAAGGCTTGAACTGGAGCAGGACACATATCATGCCTGGGACTCTGCTGGCAATATACAGTGATCACAGAAAGTCTGAAAAGTGCTTTAACTAGAACTCTCACTGCCTTTCTGCTTGCTGTACTCTGCCCTCCTTTGTGTGCTGAGGCCTACAGGCAGTGGAAAGGACTGAACTGGACAACTTCTAATTAGCCTCACTTTTGGCCCTTTCCGCTGGACTGCCTCATGCAGAGATACAGTGGGTGATGTAGGTGGCCATTGCAGTTGGGAGGCTTAGAACTTCAGAAGCCAGAGCACAAGCCCCACAGAAAGGAACAGCAGATACCAGCTCCACCTGATTGTCACATGCTGGAATATGGACCTCATGTTACCAGATCTTCTGATTTTTCAAAAGAAACTAGAATGCTGGATTCTTAAGTGAAATCGGATTTTTAAAAGATAGCAGCTAAATGAAACTTTCAAAAAGTATGACAGGCCAAACAAAATGTGTTGTGGACCCTGGTTTGTCACCTTTTGCTGTCGGGAGGAGGAATGGGAAAAAGCTGACACCTCTTTTAGTTGTCCAGGAATTAGGGTAGGAGAGGGGATGGCAGGTCCAGATGGGAGGAGAAGCCAAAGGCACAAGGTTCAGTACCGCCTTCCTGCCAACCCTCTAGGTTTCCAGGCAGCTCCCTGGGTCCCCACCTGGACATCTAACCAGAGTTGATGTTGCCCAGTAATTGAGCCTCACCAGTTGAAATGAGGGGCAAACAGGCCTCAACTATTCAGCAGTGAGATGGAGAGGAGGCGCTTTCTGCATCTCAGTCTCCTTAGTGGGGATGGATGTGATACCAAAGCACCCAGCTGTGCATTCCCTTGCATGTGACCACCGTCATGCTCCCTTTGGTTGGGTTTTGACTGGGAGGGCTGCTTCATCCTACCTCACTGAGATGAGGACAGGAAGAAGAGCAACTGAGGATCCACAGGGCTGGATCTAGGGTAGACGCAGTAAGTCAGTAGTGTCTCAAGCCAAGGCTTGGGGGAAGGAGGGGAAACCATGTTTTAAGGTGGCAGGAAGGAGATGGGGAGAAGTAGGCAAATCCCTGGAGTGTTCTTGTAGCATGAGGGGAGATTTCCAGCAATCTCCAAGATGACTTCCAAGGAAGGGTGAAGGATGGGAGCGGAGCAAGACCTTGAGACTGGGGTGTGATCTTGGAGGAAGCCTTTGGAGGGAAGCCCGGGGCCAATGAGTGGGAGTTGGGGGGCTCTGTGCTCCTCCTAGGCCAAAGATTTTGGGCAGAGGAGACTTGGGGCCACTTAAACTTGGTTTAACAGCAGGACACCTTGAAGTGCTGAAGAAGGAAGGGATTGAAGTCGGAGAGCTGAAAAGGGTAGTATCAACACCTCTGGTCTAAGAAAACTCCTCTTGTGAGAATGATGTGGGGCTCTTCCATGCGGTTATATGGTTTGTGTACTGTACAACCTGTGTGTAAGCTAAGAGATTTAGACAGAGGTAGTTGGTGTTAAGCTTGAGGTCTGACATCTAAACTGGGGTTGTTGTAATCCAGAATTGATGTTGCCCGATAATTGAGCCTTACCTGGTTGAAGTGAGAGGCAGACAGGCCTCAACTGTTCAGCAGAGGAGATGGAGAGGAGGTGCTTTCTGCATATCAGTCTCCTTGAAGGCCTGGCCACTTCCCTTTGGACCTGGATGTAGCCGGGGCAATAACAGCTGCCTCTTAGAGTTTGTCGGGATGGGTGTGATACCAAAGCACCCACCTGTGTGTTCACTTGGCACGTGGGAAGACCTCAAAAACTGGCAGCTCCTCATCTGTACCAGGGGAGTGGAATGAGCAGAAAGGCCAAGAAGATGCCTTCACCTTGCGGGATCAGTCAGTAGCCAGGCTGGGGCACATCCCACCTCTGTGTCCCTGCCATCGCTGCTGCCATCACCTCCATCATCAAGGTGCAGGTGGGTCCCCAGACAGCCCAATTCTATGCAGCCTCCCTGAGTCCCCGTACCTGCAGGAGTATGTGAGAGGGCTGAGCTGCCCAGGGGAAGCAGATGGCTTTGTCTTCCTCAGGGGCTTGTTTGCCTGCTTTGTGAAGGCAAACAAATATCCCTGCCTTGCTGGCCTACTGAGGTTGGATAAGATGCACTAGGACAGTGTTGGCAAACCTGTGGCACATGTGCAGCAGGGTGCTGTTTGTTATCATTGAAAGCTCTGAAAGGTTTGCCATCACTGCACTAGGACATCTGAGTACCCGGCGTGGTGCTTGACCAATGTGGGTGTTGTACTAATAGTAACAACCACTTCTTGAGCATTTACCACACACAAACTTCCCTGTATTGCATTATTTCCCAGAGGCCTCAACCTAAGAGTTAGGTCCCATTTATTATGTTTTACTGAAGATGAAGGTGAAGCACAGAGAGGTTAAGTAGCCTGTCTGGGTCACAGAGCTGGGAAGTAGTAGAGTTTGGCATGGGTGCCCCTGGGGTCTGCCTCCAGAGCCAGGTTCCTGCCCCTACCCTGAACAGCAGGTACCCGTAGGTCTCTTTAGCAGATCACCTTCCTCAGTTGGAATAGCTGGGTGTGGAGGATTGCTGGAGTTGTTAACGTCCCACGTCTAGGAAGAAAGCAGTCACAGGGAGATGCAAAGTGTCTGTCCCATGAGTTCTCAAGGAAGATGGGATTTGGAGCTGGACAGGCTTCTTGGGGCTGAGGGACCCTGTAGGACATCAGTGGGACCCAGAGTGTGGCACCGTGACTAAGTTATCAGGATGAGAAGTGTTTCCAGAGGGATCCACACAGGCCTGGGCATGTTGGGTGCAGGTGTTCCTGGCGTCTTGTTACTGTGCAGGAACAGGAGATTGGGGGTGAGTCATGAGGATCTATCTGTAGATGCCACAGCAAGCAAGCTGTAGTTTTTTTCTAGGGGTGCAGGGTTTTCAAACGGAAAAGTGGGGGCAGGGCTAGATCCATTGTTATGAAAGATTCTAGTGGGCAGGACCCAGGGTGAGCTGTAGCTGAGGTCTGAGGAGAGACAGAGCCTAGTCAGAGTGAGGAGTGATGAAGTAAGAATGAGGCAGTGAAGTGGGGTGCGATCTGCTGCACCCCTAGCATCTGTAAGATCTGCTGGCTCCCTGGCCAGCATCACCGATGCACCACTGGGCCTTTCCTTCACAGAGTTGTTCCCCTGCAGACCTTTCCCCAAAGGACAAATAGAAAAGGATGGCTTTTTCACCATCTAGCCCTGTGCTCTGAGAGCATTAAAAAACAACAACAACAAATTTTTGTGCCAGCATCAACATGTACAGAGCCTCATTCCCATGCTTACAGTAAGAAAGAAGCTCAACAAACTGAAAGAACTGAAAGGAAACTGCTTATCTTGGACCCATGGATGGGCACAGGAAGTTGCAGGGCTGCCACCCCAAAATCTAGCGAGAGAGACACAGTGACTGACCATCAGCTTATCTGGAGCACAAGCTACTGGAGCCACAAACTAGTAGGGAAATTTAAATGGTAATTTTGACAAGTTGTTGGAGGCTGAACGTGGTAAAGATTCAACAGAAATCTCTTATCTCTAGCAAGGGGAAGTGGAAAGAAAACATTTAAAAATATGCTCTAAGCTAGATGGAGTAGTTCATCCCTGTAACCCCAGCTACTTGGGAGGCTGAGGCACGAGGATAGCTTGAATCTAGGAGTTTTGGGTCAGACTGAGCAACACAGACACTGAGACTCCTTCTCAAAACTAAAAAAATCTTATCAGAGCCCATCTCCTTCAAGGTGAGAACAATTACTCCTCAACAGCATCTTCCTCAGAGGGATGAGATGGAACTAAGAGATAGATACCTATGAATTTCATAACCCAGGACTCAGATGCACTAAAAAGCTCAGATTTAATTGTAAAATTACAAAACGCTTCTCTTTCCTTAAACCTTACCACCATACCAACAGGGCTCCAGTATAACAGTAGCAGATTATAACTGAAAGAGCTTCAAGACAGATTGATTGAAGAAATTCTTAGGGAGATTCAAAGACAACAGAGTAGGACTGGGGATATAGCTCAGCGGCAAAAGTGCCTGTCTGGCAAGCACAAGGTCCTGAGTTCAATTCCCAGTACCAAAAAATAAAAAACAGAGTAGACAAAACCAATTACACTAGAGGAATTTAAAGCTAGCATGTAAAGTTACAGGAAACCAAACTCAGTCCAACTCCTAAACTTATTAACACCAATTCTCACACTAAAGCTCTACCTATCTCAGTTCCTTTACCTTCACGTATTACAGGGCATGCTGAAAGAACTAAGTTCAGATATGATACAGAGTGGAATGATCAGCCAGAAAATTTAAGATAACTGTCTAATATGCTAAGGGCTCTGAGGGAAAAAAAAAAAAGACAACGTGTAAGAACAGATGAGTCACGTAAGCAGGTGAAAACTCCTAGTGAAAGGAGATGCTAGAAATAAGACAGAGATAAAGAATGTAACAGAGATGAAGAATGCTCTTGATGAGGTCATAAATAGACTGGACACAGCTGAGGGGAAAAAAATCAGTGATTCTAAAGATAGGATAGAAACTTACCAAACTGAACTGCAAAAAGACAAGAGATTAAAAAAAATGTACAGGGGCCGGGGATATAGCTCAGCGGCACAAGTGCCTGCCTGGCAAGCACAAGATCCTGAGTTTGACCTGGTACCAAAAAAAAAAAAAAAAAATTAAAAAATTAAAAAAATAGCACAATAAGCCAAGTGTCATGGTTCATGTCTACAAATCTGGGAAGCTGAGACAGGAGGAGCCCAATGAGTGTGTGTGTGTGTGTATGCTCCTGAGCAATTAGTGAGACCCTCTCTCTCTCTCAAAAAAGGAACCATCAAAAGGTTCCTATGCATTATAGGAACATCACAAGGTGAAGAAAGGGAGAACAGAGCAGGAGAAATATTTCAAGTAATGAAAGTAATGATGGCTGATAAGTTTCCAAAATTAATGGGAGACACCAAAGTACAAGCCTAGGAAGCTTAGAGAACACTAATTAGTATTAATATTAAAAAACCTACAAAAAACCAAGAAAACTCCCAAACTTAACACAAAAAAATCCAATACTTAGACAGCTATTCAATTATAGAAAACAAAAAACAACCAGGCGTGGTGGTGCATGCCTATAATCCCAGCACTTGGGTGGCTGAGGCAGGAGAATTGTTGCAAGTTCAAGGGCAGCCTGGCCTACACAGTGAATTTGAGGCCAGCCTGAACTGTGTAGTGAGACCTTGTCTCTAAAAAAATCAAGATAAATAAATAAATAACAAAAAATGTTGAAAGAAGCCCCAGAAAAAGGGCAGACTATCTATAGAGGAAACAGATAGGAATCACAGCCTACTTCTTGTTGGACATCATGTAAGCAAGAAGAAGGGGAGAGAAAAACAATTTTTTTTTTACTGTGTTGGGGATGAAGCCAGGAGGACCTCAGGCATGTGAGGCGAGCACTCCCCACTGAGCTGCACCCCC